AGACTTTCAAATGGTTGTAACAAATGTACTGGCAGTTCGTAGGTATATCTATCCCACCCGTGAAGCCCTTGTCACGCCCTTGGTTAACCTGTTCAAGCATGCTTCAAGCTACCATATCCAGAATGAGTCTACTACTTCCCCGAACATTCTCCAAAGGTAAGTAACAGTTCGTAGTTGAGGTAAGAGATATGGGAGATTCCGAAACCCTTATAAGGAAGTAGACAAAATAGAAATTATCCCATTAGCGGATGTTGTCGAGAATTTTATTGACATTACTGAGTAAGAGAAATCTCTCTAAAACGCCAAAATTTCCACAAACAGTCCACATTGACGTCGGATTCCTTTGTCAACAGATAAATGGAAATTTGCCCTTCTTACTGAGTGAGAGCCAACAGAATAGAAAAAAGAGGGAAGTTTCAACAAACTTCAAAAAATCTACTGCTTCGAGCCTATCGACTACACATGGGTTTAAGGATCAGTCGATGTTCATGTCCGGTGACCCTCAAACCCATGGATCACTCGACCTGAACATCGACTGTCCTCAGCCAAGAGAAGAAGAGTTGTTGGGTCTTTAGTCCTCTAGTGTGGTACAATGTCAGCCACCTTCTCACAAGGATGGACGGAAGTCGATCCTCAGCCATAGCTGACCCTGGGCGTGTGGAAGAGGGTCTCTAGACACAGCTCCTTCTATGCTTGGGCTCTCTAAGACTTTTTGGCGATGATGAAAAATGATTGTACAAATTTCTTCTCTCTGGCTTATTCTGAGACCTCTCACCAGCACGAGCTGGGAACATATTCTTAAAGTGCTTGGACGGCAAAATTGGTGAAGCCTCTGAGACCGACGATCCTTGAGGGTAAGCGGTTCCCTTCTGGACCCTACCCTTCCTCTATTCACCTCCAAAGCATACATTCTCCCCTCGCTCCCGCACGAGCTTTTTTAGTGGCCCAAGCATAGAGCAAAGTTTTGAGAGCAATTTTCAAGGAAAACAAAGAGACTGTTACTTCGTTCAAATGAGCATTAAACATGAGCACGTGATTTTCATTAACATTACAATAGGCACTCAATATCCACTTCTCATCGCTTCTCAATGGCACACCATTTCATCAGTGAATTCTCCGTTTTTTTTCCGTCTTCAAACTCACAGATTTCTGTTGACAATGGTAATACGGTAATAGGAAGGGAATCAGAGGCATCAGAGGAAGAGCTTCTGTCACAAGAAGGTTGTCGTACAAGTCACCACCAGAGAAAAAAGCTCCCATTGGGATTAGCCCCCAGGTCAATGAACTCCCTGGGCTATTGAAATCGGAGAATGAACAGGAAAAAAACTGCAAAAAAACGTGGAAACAGCAGAGCATGAAGAAGTTGGACTCAATGAAACAGAAAAAATATCTCTAAACGGATCAGACAAATTGGAAGTTGGCGGATGAAATTAGAGTTACCGGAATTAGTTGTAAGGCAGTTGGGATTTCGGAAAAAAATCAATAAAACCGATCAAAAAGTTCGAGCAACTTTCTCACGTTGTTGGACTGAGGGAAGTAGATGATTTCAAAATATGAGAACGTTGCTCAACCGTTTGAAAAGGATTCATTCCGGTGTAGGGCTCCACTCAGCGATATAAAGGTACTCGAAACTTCCTGAGGACTCTCTTACTGGTACTAAAGAGTAGTAACTTTAAGTTTATGAAGATATGAACGTATACTGGAGTAAAGACGTGATCCAAATAATATCACTGAAGAAAAAAGCACGAAAGCAGTAGCAGCACAGGGAAGGGAATAAAAGCACGAAAGCAGTCTACCAGGAAAGTGTACGGTAGTGGAGCAGAAAAAATCCAAAATCATACGGAAGTGGAAAACACTTACAATGCTTTTGCGTTCTTTATAGAAACTCCGATGCATTTCGGGGTTAAAACTACAGGATTCCTCATTAAAACTGTCAGTACGTCGATCGCTGGACAAATGCGGATATTTCTTCGTTACCAACATAGATTTTGATAGTGATTCTGCCAGCTGCTGCTGCCCTTCAGTGTTGTTGTTCTTTAACGTCGATGGAGCATCAGATACAGGCGATTCACCAGGTACAGGCGGTGTTACCAATTTACGTTGTGGTGATGATGACATACGTGCCATACTGTCGACACTACAACGGGCACGATGTAGATAGGCTCCATCGGATTTTCGATGTTGTGATGCTCTTGAACCAGAGAACATTTCGAATACTTCTTTCTTCGTATAGGGCAGATCATCGTCATTGTCTTCTTCAGGACGTGGTTCAACTGCTGGTAAAGTGGGTCGACGTACGGAAAGTCTTGTCCACATACGACCGAGTCGCTCCATTCACATTCGCCGCCTGGTGCCGCCGCTGCCACCGCCACCGCCAGCGCCACAGCAGCCGCTGCCTCGACACGAAAAACAGGGGGGCCGCCTCGTCGTCGTAGCAAACAGGCGTCATGGAGGATCCCACATCGCTCAGGTCAGATACCCTCCACACTATCCCTCCCATCGACAGCCAGCCCCATGTTACCTGTTCATGAACGTCTGCTACCTGGCCACCCACATCGCTACCTCATTTCAAAGCTGCACCTTCGGTTACCTTCGATTTTACCTAACCTGCCATGTACCCATACATGTCCCAGAAAAAGTTCACTCCCCTAGATGTACGAGTACATCGAAAAAGGGAAGAAGTCGGAACGTTTGTTTACACGGTCATATTTCAGTATTAGATAAATCGTGGGCTAATGATATCACCCCATATTTATGAACAGACGTTCGATCAACACAAGTTGCCAGTAATCCATAAAAAACAAAGTACATTCCAGTAAATAGATGGATCGATTATTTCTCTCATAGGATTCTGGTACTGGTACTAAAGAATAGTTCCCGTTTCTTTCGTGGAATAGACCTTTTCGAGGTTAATTTTAGCGACTTCAACGTTCATCATTAATCAGACATTGCAATGTCTCATTTAAAGTATCACTGGGGACTAAAAATAACTCCCCTCGGGCAATTGGCGTTACGTCAACGTGTTCAGCTAGCTCTTGATGTACTCAACTGCATCAAACTGACGTCGCGCTAATCGGTGTACAGGGACAAGAAGAAACACGTGTTAATCATGAGGAGGAAAAGCTTTAAACTACACACGTACATTGGTGAAACTGATTGGAAGGTAAGCAAGCCTATTGGAAACTGTCTGCATGGCCTATCCACTGGACTCATTGGCCTTAATTCGAGTTTTGTTCTTTTCTTCGGAGAACTCCAGTATAATTCTCAGGATGGTGTAGAAGGGAAGAAAGAAGGGACATGAAAGAAAGGGAAATAAAATCCTCTAGCGTTTATCAATCACATTCAGGATGCGCCATGACACTCGACTACCATTTGGATTTGTAGTGGTTGAATGCGTTCGTGACTTATACAATGACGTGCGTTGGCCAGCCACTGAACGAGTCAGTGCTTTCAACCTCCTAGACGAGTCTGGGACCGACTAATTGACCCAGGAGGGACGAAAGGCTCATTTGGATTGTATAAGATTGCAATAGTACATATTGAGATTGACCCTGTAACTCCTTATTCTGTTCCTTCACAGTATAAGGTTTGGTTCAGCAAGGATAACCCTTCAACGATGAGACGCCACCTTGACTGAGAATACAAAAAAACTCAAAAACAAAGTCAAAGCATTAAATGATTTGAGGCTCAGATTGGAAAAAAAATTGAAGATCTGTTGAATTGAAATTGAATTGAAAATTGAAGTGG